TAGAAACTGTTTAGAATAATAAAATTAACACTTTAAAAACTTATCGCATTAGTTAGTCTTCATGGAATAAAAAATATAAGAACTCATAAGTTTAACCAGTTAAGTTAAAGTTTTCACTTATACAACTTACAAGTATTTAATATAATAAACACAGGTTTAACCTGAAATAAGCAATAGTTCTCATGATATATATCATTCCAAACAAATTTCATGTGTAGAAAATATTGTGATCATCTGTTCTAAACAATTGGCTGACAATAAATTTGAAATCATTTTGTTGGCGGGAGATTATAACATTCCGCTTTTTGTAGTGTTCGAAAATTAAATTTAAACGTAATGATGTGCCGACATAGCGGTCGCATACCAAGAGTGAAATAATATGAAATAATCGCGCTGTAGGTACTACACAACTAGCCGACGAAGACCACTTTTTGTTCTGCTTAAGAAATTCAATGAATAACATTAATTAACACTTGAAACACACACCTGAGCGTGGTGTGGAATGGGAATGGATGAAACTATGATTTTAACATATACTTAATTAATGTTCCATCGCCATTGTGAGAATTTACTTGCTGTATTTGTTTACAGGCCAATTAATTATATATGCACGATAGATTTGTGTGTATTATAACTAAAAAGTAAAGTAACAGCCTATACATGTCCCACTGCTGGGCAAAGGCCTCCTCTATACAGAGGGTATCAAGGCATAGTCCACCACGCGGCCCCACTGCGGATTGGCGGACTTCACATATTTTCGAAATATATATTTTTTTGTTATTATTTCGAAAATGAGCAGGTTTCCTCACGATGTTTTCCTTTACCGCGGAGCACGTGATAAGTCAGCACTTAAAGTTAAAAACTTCATTGGTGCCGGCACCGGGGATCGAACTCAGGTTGCTCGAGTATATTGAATCAAAGGCGAGCGCCCGGACATTGAGCTATCACCGCTCTTAATTATAACTATAAGCTTAATTATAATTATAACTATAGCATAGCATATTCGAAAATACGATTTGACGATTATTATCAATGATTTAACGTTACTTTGTTATAATTTCTGTCGATACTAATGAAACTCTTTAGACTCCTTCCTCTATTAACCAATTGAACGGACGACCTTATCAGAGTTAGCAAATCAACAACAATATCCGATAGTAACTTGTTTTCAACATACATAATGAGCGTTTAAAGGAAACTCAAGACACGCGTACGAAGAAGTTGACATAATACAAAACACTGATGATATTATATACAAAAACGAGGTAGATATGATGCTAGTGCACCGAAACTGAAGCACACAAATTACGCCGATTGGTATATATTGTAATTAGATTGTAATTCTGTAGAGTGCTATCTTTTTCCTTATCATAAGTTCTGTATTATCTGTCACATTCACCATACATTTTACGCCGCGCAGTATGAATATGCGTCATCTTTTTTAAAACATCATAGCAAAACACACCATGAATATAAGAACTCGAATTATAGAGAAAAGTTCAAAATAGCATCACGCCTATAGAAGATCGGTTTAAAAGAACAATGTCGACGAAGAAGTGTTAAAATTGTTTGCCAACATCGCAGATAATCGCTCAAAAAGAGGAGCGCCGTTTACGAACTAGACCACCTATATCAAAATGTAAGAAACTCGACGAGATCGAGCGGCCAGTGTATCTGCACCTTGCTCCGGCAAAAACTCGAAACAATTAAGGGGACATAGCGCAATGTCATAATAGCCAATAGGCGGCCAATAAAAATTGCACATTAATACAATACCCACAGAGATTAAATTACGTCGTAATTCAATAATACCCGGTAATGATTATAAAACGGCATGTGGTATTCCACAGCAGGTTTCTTCGGTGCGATGCATTTTCATAGAGGCGCGAGCGTTTTTCCAACACCTTTCAATTGCGTGAATCGAATTCTAGAAAGCCACGTTTAATTTTTTTTCCACCGATACGTATACGTTTGGCATGCATACTTTGACTTTATAAATTTTGACGTTTTGTGGGTCGTGTTAATTGAATATCTTGCCCCCCGAAATGGGCTCAGTAATGTTGATCGGGTAAAATTGCCATTTTAATTTTCATTAATGTAAATTATTAACACAACGGATAGGCGTATAAAAATGTGTATTATTACCTTATGTACGTTTAATATTACCTGCTTCGTTATAAACTATTGGAATGAAATGTCATAAAATCTCATAAAAATCTCATAAAATCGTTGGAAGAATTAATAAATAAACACAAACATTACAAGAGAGCGTCGCGAAACTGTTATTTAATTAATTATTATTTGACCCCGAATTTAGGTTCATGTAATAGGAATGAAATAGAATCCAGCCGAGTTAACAATAGCTCTACGAAGTGCTCCCGGGAATCGCGAAAAAACTTTCTAGAATGCCATACGGCGGCCGCAAATGGAATGAGGCGAGAGCATAAATAAGACGGAAAGGTTTTGCGGCGCAGTCGGGCTAACGAGGCAGGCAACTTCTAGAGTTGGATTCTTCAAGTTTCCCGGGCCTCGGGCGCGAAGTTTCGCCGGTGCGGTTTCACGCGACTTAGCAACGGGAGATTCAATTTAGCGCTGATTATGTACGATCGTTAATGCGTGGCGTGACGTAATGAATTGGCCTGAGCAGCAAAGCTCTTGTTATTGGATCGGAGATTAATTAAAACAGAAGCTATTAAGGCAATCGCCGACTGCGTCAGTTGGATGAGTGATGGAATGCTCTCGAGTTTTTCGAAGGTCGAAAGAGAAGGTCTAAGTTAGGAAGCAGCAGCTTAGCTATTGCTGGCTCACTCAGAAAGAATCACGGTCTCGTAGAAAGTAAGAAGTATTTATGCGTTTGCATTTCGTCTGGTTAATAAGCCTCACTACTCTAACCCATTACAACCTGACTACTAGCCTCATTAAAGGTTGGCAACGCTTCTGAAACCTGACAACTGCTATGATGTCCACGAGTAGCGGTGTTCAGTCTACCATCGGGTGATCAGGTTTATGTGATGGGAGAGTGAATACCGTCGTTTGACGTCGTCGTGTTGTCCTCTCATAAAAATGAATAAGGCTCTAATGAATAAGGAAACTCTGCAGTTATGCTGAAAAGGCCTTAATTGTAGCAATACCACGAAGTTGCCGCTTTTGATTGAAATAAAAGTTTTGTAGCTGGTATAAACGTGTAACCGAAATTAGTGGAATATGGTGACGTGTACCTACAATTATATATATAAAGATTTATGCTATTTACTTTTCATAGAGGAATGGCAAAAAGATACGACAATCAAAGTAATTCAGCCACGTAATACATACTTTAGCACATTATAAAGCACTCTATAATAGTGTCAATGAGATGGATTATAGATTTCGAATAACGTAGCAATCAATATTTAATCTTCCTCAACAAACATGCAAGTTGTTTACGAGCCACCCTCAAATGTTCACAGTTTAATTTTACAACCTGGATTCTCTTCGTTAGTGTTTCTACATAATGCTATGAGTAATTTATTAGATATAAAATAACAGCTTAAATTTTTGCCTATCCGTTCCCGCGTCCGGCGTGAGAGTAAATTGTATTCGAAGGGCGCTCAGTACCAACCTTCAGTTCGCATTTAGAACGAGCAATGTTCCCGCGTTCTAACGCCGGCTTGCAGTTGGACAATTCGACGTATTGCGATACTGGCACGTGTTTGAAGTGGCTACGTCGCATCGCACGGGCCATATAGAGACGGTAATAGCCCCGACGTAGAGTCTGGGCTAAGGGCAAAAACGTTGCGTGACCCATTCCAAAGCGCTCGGCTAGCTAACCTTTGTCTCGATACCTCACGACGCTTTAAAGTTTTGTGTACGAATCTTAAATAATTTAATAAATAAATAAATATTTAGGACACATTTTTTTACACAACGTTCCCTAGTCCCAAACTAAGCAACGCATGTACTATGGATACTGACAAACATACTTAAACATACTTTTCTTTTGTAAATAAATACATATTATACATACATCAACACCCAGACACTAGAAAAATACTATGTTCATCACACAATATTTTTCCAGTAGTGAGGATCCAACCCACACCGTCTGGCGCAGTACCCACTGACTTCGTATAGTACAAAACATGATAAGTAGCGAGGAATAAAATATATTCTAAAGAAAACTGTTTCTATTCTTATTGTTCAAAATAATCAATGCACTTTTTGTACCATAATAATGGCTATAAACGACGTAAAACATCACAAAAATGCTTCACTTCAAAATTGGTGACAAGAAAAATTCAGGAAAAATTACAAAATACCTTGTTTTTTTTAAGTACTGTAAGTAGTGATAGCATATATATTGCATTAACTGGAAACTATTTACTCTCATTAATGCACGCAACCGCTATTAGTATGCACATAAAGCCCATGCTTCCCATACCGTTAAGGAGACGATTGTTATGCAAATCCCGCCGATTTTCTCACAATTTCCACCGTCCCACACCTAAAGCGTGAAGGGAGAATTAAAAAGGCGGCGGAATCCTTTGGCGGGGCGCATGCACCGGCCCGCTTGGAGGTTACTAGGCCCGACTGGACCGGTTTGTCACATGGCTCAAAGCACGTGTGGCCTCCGGAATATGGCCGCGTACAACTGAGCGTTCGTATAAAACGATAGTCCTATTCGATTATCGCCATCATTTTCGAACTGAAAGACGAATTTCGCAACGAAACGTTATTTTATCTGTTTGAAATGACTTACTGTAATGACTTCGAGACATTTCTATAGCAGTAAATTAATTATCCTGAAGGAAGAGCTGGCAAATATATGTTCGTAATTAAATTTAGAGTCAGTGCGACCGCTGTATTCATTTGAGTCGATGCTTCGTAAAGTATTATGTGCGCTTTATATGCAGTGAAAAATTGATGAATGCATAAAAAACGTAAAAACGACGTCTGTAATCATTACGTTTTGTAATGATTACAAACGTGGTTTTTACGTTTTTCCCGATTTTAGTATTCCAATGGTCAAAAGCCCGCTCAGCTTGGCAACGCCTAATGAACCGGGCCGCTGGAGAGTATATTTTGATCAACTCAAGAGCAGAAGTTGGAAAACAAGTTCTGGGGTAAGACGGCACGCACCGAGCAGAGGAGGCAACCACCCCGGTACAAAGTTATCGCATTACTCAAGCGAACGCGACTTGAGTAATTTTGAAATATTACAGTTTTGTAGGCGCACCAACGCTCGCTTCGACGGAGCGTCAACTGCTTTTGGGCAGTTACTTATTTGCATATTTTTTAATCCTACACGATTTTATTATCTGTTGTGGAATAAAATACAAATGGCAATATCTACACTAAACTCTCTCTCTTGCACTCCTTTTAAAAACGTTGTTAAAATATTGCAAATGTATTAAGGCGTTAAAATATTCCTTGTAATAAATAAAATCAAGGCAAGTTCTAAAACCACAAAAGCTAAAACGTTTACACATACTCGAGTGACAATGCTTGTAACAACTTTTGCATTAAGCATCAAAAACTTACATCGGACTAATAATGTTATGGTATCACACACGTTTTATTAGGGTACATTCTCCAAATAAATCAACTGCAAAATAATACGTGCAAATTTTTAAATATGTGTGTTCTTTAACGTACAAAAGGAATAAAACAAAACGGAAGTCTTTCTGTAATTCACAGCAAGAGATGTTTAAGTTGATAAAAAAAATTCCAAACAAGCATTTGTTTTTCGAAAACCTAGTAAAGTCTATTATGCGAAATCGTGACAGTTTTTAAAGTTTTTAACGTAAGCCTAAAAAACTCGTGCATTGTTCGGTATTGTATTGGTATGCGAAAAAATTGCAAACTTAACAAGTTGAAGGACCGTTATGTTTACAATTTCGTTTCAAGGCCCGTTAAGTCGTAAAAATTTTAAGAAAGGTCCTCTTGTGCAACCTTCAATAGATACGGCGACAGTTAGACAATAAACGTTGCACAAAATTAACAAAAGAAATTCAAACAATGCTCATTTCTAACAATTCACCTGCTCAAATGAGCAGGTAACCAATTATTATGCTAATGTTTGTGACAATGAATTTATACGCTGCGATAATGTTTTGAAGAATTGTGGCCAAAGGCTAACTAACGTGCTTTACAACACCTTGTGATAATTTATCGTTCTATTTGTGAGGTTCATAACAAAAGTTCGTTTCCGTATTCTTTATCGTCAATTGCTATCACTCGACAGCAGAATTTACTGCTTTCGGGTCGGGTGTGCAGACAAAAACTAACGATAAAAATTGGCTAAATTTCCCGCAAACGCAGCGTCGATCCCAATGGAAAACATTGTTCGAACTCGCTCCCAAATAATACAAGTTTTTCGCAACGTTAAAGGAATAACCATTCGAAATGATATTTCAATTAGACAATTAACAATGTTTGTTGTACGCGAAACGAGTTATCGGCCAGATGCGGTGAGGTTTATGACGGCTAATAGAGTTTATAGCTTTTTTATTGACATTAATGTTCCCTTGACTCCGGCGTTTACGATCGCCCCATTCATTATCAAACTGTGAGGTCAAAACATCTTTAAATCATAAGCGAAAATATGGACGCGCGGATGTTACGGACTATTTTGAATATCCATTCATTCTTAGTTTATGGTCGTTAAGTAATCATTGATAGGTTTACGAGCATTCGGCTCATCTTGTTTACTCTCCGCTCTGAATTTGATTACGCGGCCGAGGAATTTTTATTCGAAGCGAATGCGTGCATGCGCTTCCAGCCGTATTGCTTATTAATTATGAATACGTCATGGATGATAGTTGATTAAATAAATTAAAAGGAATGCGAGTTTCATTTCCTCAAGGTGCAGGACAAGTGAACGGTTATGGTTTATCACATCATATGTAGAAATTGTTAAAATGTTTAACGTATATGCAACATTTTAGTTTAAGTTTGAACTCTAATTTCAAACTAAGATAAAGAATAGCTATATGATTTTTTCTATCATTATTTTCTATGATTATTAGTAACCAGATAAAATCTATACATTCAGATGCTTAAACAATTTTGATATCGCCTTTTACACTGATGCGACGACTTACGTGCGCGAAGCGAAGATTGTGTAATTAAAATACTCGTTGCTAAATTGAATTGCCCATAGAATTATGGGAGTAGAAAGCGGCTGACCTCTGACACTGGTTGTATCGGTCTAGAATACTTCCTTATACCACTTAGTACAATTTAATAAGTTAATGCTTGCTGTTTGTCGTCACACGTTACGTAACCCATTCAAAGGGTAATTAAATGAGTAGTTGTAGTATTGCATAATGAAGCAACACAAAAAGATAATATTGAAGTCCATCGACTGACGAGGGACTAACATAACGGACATCTATCGATGGGCAAAACAAACGAGGTCTCCCACGCCTCTAATTTATCGTGCATACGATAATTATGCGGATTTAAGGCCCGGCGTGGCGCGGTTTACGGTTCTTTACGGGATTTCGGGCGGCGACAAGCCGTTCTAGGTCCTGTTCCCGCACCTTTGGGGCGATATCCGCTTGACCCGGACGCCGGGTCGAAACAATCGGCTGCTTGCTTATTCCGCCGCGGCGTCGGGACACCCGCCCGCCACGTTTGAAGTGACTGCAATTTGTCTCCGGCGACGTATTTCAAGTAGATATGATCGTGTGTACGACCGATGCTTGCATAAATACAGCGCAAACAGATGCTGCTTTTTTGCTTGCAGCGCGGTAGGTGAGGCGTTCACCTGGCGCCTCCAATTCGATACGATTCTGACGTTTCGTTGAAAGCGCTTGAAGCGATAGATAGGAACGGGCACAACACTAGTTGTGTGACATACATACACAATAGATGTAAATGAACATTACGCAAATGATCGATGGTACAAATAGTTGCTGACCTTTAAACAAAATAAGTTCAAATTAAGTTATGTATGTATAACACAATTTCTTCGCGTGAACATTAAACATTGTAATTAATTTTTCTTGCACATTCATAGCCCAAATTTTACATTTTAGTACCCATATTGTGACAAAGACTAATGAGTTTGAGGTTCCCTAATCTGACTTACCAACTCTCAGATGAATGAAATCATTAGAAAAAAGTCTAGAAAATAAATGAAGATAAAAAATGGATTACAAAAACTACAAAAACTCGAATTATAAATTGAATTATTCTAAATTCGAATTTACAAAGTAGCTTTATTGCTACTCACGAAGTCCGGACGATAAGTAAACATGCATTTTAATCAAATTCGATATAGGCAGATGCTACTGTGTGGACTTATAGGGCAATAACGGGTGCCTGCAGCCTGACATTGGCACTCGAGAAACGGTCAAACAAAAACGCAAGTATCGCTGCTACTCATTAACTTATTAAGATGATAATTTATGGCCTTTAATGCGATTCTGCACTAGCTGAAGTACACCATTGTATATCTTTTTTGCGTTTGCACAAAAGCTGCGACGCCATCGACTTCTTTGAAGTACCGTATGATAAAAAGTTAAGTTCGACATTTAGTTCTTTTGCTCTATATTTTTGCATTTAAATTTAACATTTAATAATGAGATAAAAGTTAACTTTTAAAAATTACAAGAAATATATCTTCTTCTTTCTCAACGTGTGTTGTGTGCTTGTATGCTGCAATCTTTTCCATTTAATACCAAAAAACTAAGAAATTGATATTAAAATAAATAGTTACAATAATAAATTTCTCAAGTTACATTGCAACAACATATTGTTTATTTCATTACTCGTGTCCCGCTAGATGCAAAGTCTGGCTTAAATGATTTGTATTTTTTTTAGGAATTAGCTGGACCAATTATATAAACGGGTGATTTACACTCAATATCGAGAGGACAATTGAAAAAAGGAACAATTTTAGAGATATCTGAGAATATCATCAACAAAAAAAAAAGAATCAATATAACTCTGAAGAACTTTTTTTATTATGCTAAAAATATTTTAGTCGTACTGTTTCCGTGTAATCTAAAAGAGAACAGATACAATTATCAGAATAATAAGATTGCTACTAGCAATTATCAGTTATTGCATAAATTATAATGCATAATAAAGTAGATTAAAACAGCTTAGGCGCATATAAAACCTTTTTTGCATCATTTAAATGATTGCAAAATTAATTTTTCAATTTAAATTATATATTTATAATTTTTCTTGGCTAATTTCAAGTTTATAACATTTATATTCAAATATACGTACCTATACCGGAAACCCTTTTTGTTAACAAGACGTTATCTCAGTATATAACACAGAAAATTAATCTTTAACTAATGCCACTTAACGTTGGCGATAATAAAAAAATACTCTAAAAATGAATATATAAAAATAGATTCATTCCTTTCTTTTATCATCCATCGACACATGTTTTAGCTTTTAAATTTCAATTTCATCTTGAACACGTTTCAACTCGAACATAAGCCACTTATTTAAACCGTTTACCGAATAGTTAGCGATTTGGAACTTCTACAGAGTACATTTCACACCCGTCGAAATGTGTCCGCGCTGGTTCGTAGCGAAGTAACTTTCTGCGGCTCAACCGAGCGCGTCCCTTCAACAGGAAACGAAGGTACGCTTGTCATACATACTCTACTTCGTCGATAGGGATCTGCTTGTGTATGGTGCAGAACCGTTCAGTGGAAACCTTTTTGCCGTCTGTTGTTTTTTTTTTAATTAATCGAACGACTTAATTTTGTTGTGACGTACTCATAACGGCTACATTCTCAACTCTACTTACGCGTAAAAACAACCGCCTCTTGCGTTGTTTTGCTTATGAAACACTTAGAAAATATAATTATATCCATTAGTTTTTATTTAGTTTAACCCTAAATCGTTGAAATTAACGTTTGTTACATGTAGTTAATGCAGTAGCGTAAGTTGTAGAGAAAAGGTAAGTTTCCGCGATTGCGATTTAAATTTAATTTAGCTTAGAAGAAACGACTCTAACATGATAAAAAAAAAATAAAAAGCCTCAAGCCAACAGCTCGCGTTTAATGCAACATATAATATCTGCAATCAGTGAATCATCGCACGGAGAGGTAAAAATTGTAAAAAAAACAAACGACGGCATCACTGAATAATAACTAAAGATTGAGATCTAACTAACTGGATGATGTGAAATAAGACAAATATGGCGCTGCGCACGAGTGGAATTCAAAATGGGCGCCTACGGCCTCTTAAATCCTTGTTATTGTATGCCCTGAACTACTTTTGCTCCCCCCTCTATCTGGACGTCAAGGATTATCCTATTTGACTCGATGTTTAATAAGTAATTGTTATCTATTTGAAAAATTACATCTAACAATGATATTAACAAGATTGACTTTATCGTGATATATTATTTAAATTTGATACTTTTGTTTAAACTAGAGACTAGTAGAGACTAGTACTTCGAGGTTCTAGGTTTTGGGGCATGAAGACAAGATAAGGCCTGTAAGTGTACAGTGTACTGATAAAGTTTTGGAACCTTTGGCATATAGTACACTAAGTATTAAAGTTATTTATTCTTTTGTAACTTTGATTATCATAGGAAAACATTAACGTTTGAGTTTTGTTCATTTAAAGTAGGTACATAAAATCCTTTCTAACTCTACCTACAATTTTATATTTTATACAAAATTGTTATATTTAAGATACAATAACAGTGATCACTTGTTCAATTCATATATAGTCCTGTACTTGTACATAGTATTCTACATAGTATCTTAATATGCTAGATACTGTTCCGATACGGTCTGTCTGTTCTTTCTCAAATTTTTATAATTATCCCTGAATGTCTTATCTCCGGATCCGTCTTGACCAGTAGGTCACACGGTCGCTTTTTGTATATCATATACAGTTTATTAATGATTTCAATCAATAAGGAATGCATGTTTATAAAACATAGTTTGTTATTTTGGATACAAATTTGATGTTTTCATTAAACAAAGTGCATTAAGAACGGTGCAAAAGCTAAAAGCGTTTCGAGTGCTTTTTTATATTTATATAGATTGACATGAGGTGCAATTAAGTCTTTTTGACATATTAATGGCGCGATAATGGAAAAGTACTTATCCGTCAGCTCCTAATCTTGTTTCACCTTTAAGTTAAAATTGGACAAACTATAATTGCCAGTAACAATAGCTATGGAGGTCCGAAGATGGTCACATTATCAATGTCGAGTGAATGGCTACGTCTTGACAAACGCTTGGCCATCAAGTATCTTTGTCCCACAATTTAAATAAATGAAAACCTGTTTTTTTCAAACGGATACTGGCTCCGCGTATAACTACATATTTGTACTATGCTTGTTGTTTTATGAATGTTTATTTTATTGTTTGTGTTTATCATAAAATTGTTAAATGTAATGACTCTTCCCTTGCCAAAATGTTTGAAATGATTCACAAACCCTTAAATTTATATGTAAAGATTGCTTTTTTTAAATATAGTAACTCTGTAAGGAAGTAAAAATAGTTACGCAGTTACCAATAAACAATGTCATGTAATATAATCATTTAAGATATCTTATATTTCTTTATAAAAAAATACTGTTTATATTGTTTCTTTTTATAGTTCTTTTTAAAAAGAAAATACAATATTATATAACTTTTGACAGCAGAGTTGCTTGTGACTTCTTCAACAAAATGCCATATACATATTGAAAAATAATTTAAACAATAGTTTTGAAGACAAGTAAACACAGTAAACGTAACTTTTCTGTTACGTTTATTTTCTTTAACAGCAAATAAATAAGTTGACCAATATGTAGCAAAAGCCAGGAACATAAATAGAATATTCACTTAAAATCATTTAACGTGTTATAATGGTTAAATCCTACAACTTTGCGGGCTAAAGTGCTAAAGACATAATAGAGTTATGTTGTTCATTCTTTCTCAAGAGAACAGTGAAAGCGACCTTTTACTGGATTCTCGATATTGAACTCTACAATGAACTATATAAAGTTCAAAACATTTTTGTCAATGAAATTTTGAAAAAATTATTCTGTTAGATAAAATTTTTAAAAGCCCAATTATGATATTAATTTGATTTACATTTATAATTGACGATTATCATCGGGTCAAAATTTTTTTTATTGTGCTTTAATATTATGGCTCAAATCCTAGCATAGCAGAAATAATTTTGCATAGAGTGTAAGTTTAAATTATACTATATAGTACTGTTTTTCTTCCAATTACCGAGTTCTTAGTAGGATGGGTATGTAATCGGCTAATTGTGGAAACATATTTTTTTAATCACACACATAAATCATAGTATATAAGGCCTTAGATGCGTGTTATAAAGCTTAACAAATTATTTTTTTTAAACGCAGTTGATTTATTATGATTTATATGTATGAACATTCTTTTAAAGTTTTATGTGACTGCATATTTTGTTGTTAATTATTATCTTTTTAATGTTTTCGATAATCTTACCAGATTGTGATTTACATAGATAGGCTTAATAATATCACAATACAGATAAATTTTCTTTAAAGTTTTAAAATGCGTGCGTTCGAAATTAAATTTATATAAGTAGTTCCTTTGTGATATAAACAAGCATAGGATATTATATTTTCTTAACTATTTTCCCTTGAAGGTAGGTAAAATAACGTTTCAAGCATCCTTTAAATTGCGCATCACTTATTACTAATGTACGAAATTTATCAGAACTATTAAAGTCCTTCCAATAGCGACATTACTTGTTAAGAGTAATTTATCGTGTAGATTATCTTATTTCTAATCTGAATATACGGTTAGATCATTATTATTCTTAGCCCTCAGCGTACAGCTGTCAGTTGACGACATTTTACAACCTCGATGCAACTCTCTCATTCTATGTCTGAACATTGTTTTGCTAAAATACGATTTTGTAACATCGTTAAACCCCAATAACATTGGGAGAGATTTGTTTAATCCCCTCGTTCGTTTAGTCCGAGCGGGGGGCTATTCCGCGCGCGCAAATCTTCCGGCGAGCGGACTTCGCGCGGCTTCGAAGCCGCCCGGTGCAGCACTCACCTTAGGCCGGCCGTCCGCTCACCGTCGGGCGGCGGTGTTGGCCCATGGCGCGCTCACAGAACTCACTCGCAGCGGGCCCCGCTCACTGAGTCACGTGTCGACGTACCGACGGAGTCCGCGCGTGTCGGCGCCAGGTGGCCGCCCGCGTTGTTTACGGCCGCTTACGCAACGCAGTTGTCGCGTTGACGCGCGTCAGTCGAGTGCCGGCCGATGCTTTACGAGCGGCGCCTCCCCCCACGGCGCGCCGCGACGCCGCACTAAATCCGCGAGTCGGCGAGCACCCGGCCCCCTTAATCCGGCATCGGCGCGGCGACGGGGCCCGTCGATTAATTGGACGGTCGGCGCGGACGGTCGTGTCGCAGCGGTCGGGCACAGCGCGCCCGTGGCCGGCGAGTGCGCCGCGCCGGAGTTTCTTCGTGTATCGTCCGATGCACCAGACGCTTGATAGCGGAACGCCCGCTGTTGAGGTTGCTCCACTTCGATATTTCGATATGTATGGGAGGGCTCGTAAAGTTTAATCCGCGACGGAGGAACGCTGGGAACCGATCGGGTAGAATGGATTTTAGGGCGGCAGATGACACGTGTATTTGAAGTCTTAACTTTATGACTTATTTTGGATGTGTTCGTTCAAGGCAATTTTTTTAATAAACGATCAAAATTAAATGTATATGTTGTTTACTTTTATGCTACCCAACCAATTCACAAAAGAATCCTCCAACTGAATCCGATCCCATTCATCAAGTGACCAGAGTCCGTTATAAGGCAATTCACAAGTATATCTATTGGATAGCACTTAGCTCGTTAAAAGCACCAAAAAGTCATATCAAAGATTATTAAAGTAGAAAAACCTTACTAGGAACTAACAACTCACGTTGCTTAACAGTAGAAGATATGCGTAGGCGGCAATTTCACGAGTACTTAGAATTATGCTGGTAATGTTTGAGAAGCACAAATTCCTATGTGTTCCTAAAACTTTTTTGGTAGAATCAATGTTATTACTGAAATACTGAATAATTACTGAAAAAATATCGATTCCTTTTGAAAACAGTTCCTACAACACGATTATCTTGGCAGCTCATGGGAAGTTAAACCTTTTTCATGCTTACTTACTAAACTTGCATTCATACTAAAAATGAGTTTCTGTAAGCGTAAATTGAGAATTAATCTAAAAACTAATAAAAGTTAGAAATCGTAATCGAAAAGATATATTTTGATGATATATTTCCAATGTACTTTGTTCAGAGCGCACCAAAAAGGGTCTGAGAAGAAAAGAGTCTAGGGAGATGGTATTCGTAACGAAGTAGCTTACGACAAAATGGATGCCACCGTAATAGGATATGAGCAGGCATTGATTAACTGCCTAATAATATGTTAGCAAAATTTAAAACATCATTGTATGTGAAGCCGTAGAGAAGTAAACGTGGCGTAAGATGCCTTGCGACTTGATTAACTGATAGCTTACGAGACGTAGGCAGCAAAGATTGTCAGAAAGCCGAGAATTAAGTCAGATTTGGTACTCATTGCTGAGAAGTGGATTGAGTCAGCTATGATAACATATTAAGGGGCTCTTAACGGTAGCTTTTAATACATTAGTTGAAGAAACTCCAGATGGCCTCGAGTTGTCCGCCAGACAAAAGATGCAACATAGGCTATTTATTCGTTAACGCTTAAATAAGTCTGTTTTATCCATCCCATATTAGAAGAAAAAACAGACAGAAAATGAACTGTTTCGACCTGAATACAAATAATATACCGGGATAAAACAATTTGACCGCAACGTCTAACTTCTTGTACATTACAATTATAAATTGCAAGTGTAGTAAATAAATACACAAATATATTGTGACAACAATACCACTATTATTACACAAACCCTTTATATTAATCTCGAGCTACTATAGACTGATAATAAAACATTTTGAACAGTTATTTAACAAACTTATGTTGAGATGTTAGGTTAACTAAACACTACTAAGGTTGAAGTAAAACAATTCTTATAATAAAGGTTTTCGTATCTGTTGAACCATATATGTATTTATAATGTTTGGGAAACTGTAAAGATAGCTTCAAATGTTTGGTTTTTAAAGTTTATTACTACAATAACAATAAAATAGTTTTTTTTAATATCAGTTCGCCGTAATAATTAAATTTATAAAGTCACTATCAAAATTATTGAAATACTTTTTTAGTTTCTTCCGTTCCACCACCAATCTTCTAAACGCGCGGTCAAACAATGAGATGTCAAATGCCAAGGTAGTTAACGCTCCACCAATAGAATCACTCTACGGGGCCGCCATTTTGGCATCCCCACTCCTGGCGTTCTTACATCTCGCGGGGATCAAAATATTCGGCCATTGCATCAGCATCTGTTGCGCTGGAGAGTGTATCTAATGGTGATAAATTATATTGTACAGTGATTCTAATGAAACTTTACACAAATTTTAATAATTTACATGCTAAAAAAGTAGACGTTGCGTTTTCTTTTATGTAATTTGAGCATACAAGATGAATTATACGTAATTTTTTGAACATGTGTGAATATTCTATGGTGATAGGTGTAAGTTTAAACTTTTTTTAATTTTGAAAGGTGGAAGATGAAGAACATATCTATATTATTGATGACAACGTTAAAGTAAAGAAAAGACAAGATTTTATTAATTGATCAAAAATGAATTGTATTTTCATTCTCATTTAATTTTTCTAAACTTGGAAACACGATGGAGCACCGCCGAGGCAGGTAAAATATTTCAGTCCCTTCCGTGTAAAAAAATCATTAAATCAAGTTAGTTGTCTAAATGTGAACAAAGAGGTACCTACGCAGTTGATACCCTGCGTTCACGCACTCGTTAGAAATTTTCATCCAATAAAGGAAGCGGTTGGTACAGAATGACCAGTCATCATTATTTATTTTTGGTCTAAATACATGCCTCAATAGTAATTGTGATGAAATCCCATAAATTGCTTTTTAATTTGTATCAATATTTTCAAATGGATTTTTAATTCAAAATATTTCTCGTTAAATACTGTAAATCAACCTTTAAACTGACACAATCAGCTAATTTTTGCTTAATAAAGGGTTATCTATATCAATAATCAGAATCAACCGAGGACAAGCTCAAAATGAAAGCCGTTATTCTTCTCATATCTCTACTTTGTTTTACTCTTTCAAAAATGGATGCAAGTTATTTAAAATTACTTTTAACGCAAAACAAAATAATCATCTTTGCTTTTAACATAATTACCTACGTCGTCAAATTCCTGTTGATTAATTGCGACTTTATAAAACTGCATTAGACTCAGGTTGGTGGTAGATCTAAAATCTAAAATCAACTACTAACTGAATCATCTACAAGCTCGTCCGGGGCACTCCTATCGGGTCCCGCCTTATCGTGGCGAAGGAGCTTAATAGCCGTGGTTTCGATCTCCGTGGAGAAGCCAGGAGGAAGCCACAACTGATAGAACCGATCCAAGAAGGCCCTTTGAAACCCTGAACCCACTCGGAGAGGCTACATGTTAGAATAGGGTTCTGGTTTGGGACAGATTGTGAGTGCTAGAGGAAGAACCTTTCTCTTTGTCTTCTGAAACCAAAGTGTAGTCGTAGGGTGAGGAGACAGTCAGTATTGCGATGTATGTATTCCCTAACCTTCTCCGCTGTAGGGGGAGAGGAGAGGCGGTATTGCCATGTATAATGTGGGGTACATTCTCCCTTCCTCCACTGAAACGTGGTGAGCGATGGAACAACAGACCAGCTCCACCGCTGGGCTCCAAAGACCTCTGTTCAGCGGATTGAGGATAGTTTGTTGCAGAAGGGGCTAGTAGGAAGCGCTGATTATTCCAGCGTAATTGAAGAGGGCAGAGTTGCTCCCCGAGGAGATGATTCAGGGTGCCAAAGGGTGCGAAAGCATCCCCTGCCAATATGCGCAGGTGGTAGGCCAATAGTTGGAACATCGATAGGGTTTTAGTCGGTCCCAGTCCGGTATAAGCAATCCTTGCCTCCGCGAGTATAGGATGAGTATGCATTTGCCTCACGGTGACAAAAAAATAAACGTAATACAGAGAAGTAACACACCCTGGCAATTAATTGGCGGCGCGTAGAGGTATAAAATTATTTTAAGCTTTTCTGCCTATCACGAAACAATCAACACTAACAAGTCCTCAATGTTACTCCTTTATTTAAAACTAATAACACTAAATTGACAACTTATTTATGTAAGTAAGTATATATTATAGATCTCTTCTTACTCTCGATCTCTCTCTCACTCTCACACCAATTATTTACGGCAAACGAACTATAAATACAAACTCCTTACAACTTCTGAACAACTCTATATTAACTAGTACAAAAACTATATTTTACATATACTTTTTACGTTGTATTCAATTAAGTAATATATTTAATACATAAAAGTAAATACAAACATCATTCCAAAAGTAATTGATTTTGTTGGCTGTTTCTGAAGTATAAATAATTAACATTAAAGTAATAGGGAAAAATAAAAATTTTATAAATTTAAAAAATTTGAAGTAGAGCATCCTTAAAGGCAATATCCACGGCACATTTCGTTTGCCACATTCCTGAACGCGTTTAAAGCATGCTCTAAACAGCTGATTTCCCGATATACTCCTGTCTCCTTTATCGCGCAGTAAAACAGGTAATAAAACAGAGAAAACTATACTTTATGCGCTCCCACTGGAATTGCGCGGACGACGAGCGTAACCTACATGCGGCCATTTCGAGATTTACGATCTGGGAATTGTGAGTTAGAAAGGGACGTAAATATACGTCTCTTTGCTGATAGTAAGCCCGAGACTAGCGGGCACGCTGATGCGCCGAGGACAAGGCTGTTGTAGTATAAGCCAAATTTGAAGAATCTACAATATCGTTTTCATACCAAATTCACTACTTTAATATAACAGATAAAACTACAGCATGAATTATTTTTAAATGTATGTAACACACGGGAAGTGATTAATCTGAAAATGTTCTCTTTACTACGGCGTTGAGTCGCAACTAGCTCATTTCGTTGCGTTGGTGTGTGTAAATTAAACTATGCGCATGGGAGCGATAAATATATAGCTTTCCCTTTTGTTCGACAGAGTTATGAGCGTGTTAGAGTGAGAAGTCGTAAATCGGGTGATGCGGCCCGAAGTGACATGTTTATGGGCGTAGCCGAGGCGCGTGCGGCATGGGTTGGGAGCGGCAGTCGAGAGCATGGCGCCGCAGCACGCGGGCTAATATTAATTCTATGGAATATTAAGAGAGAATTGTTGAAAAAATAATTGCATCAAGAAATTTTAATTTTTCAGATCATTTAAATTGCAGCTATTTATAAAAAAAAAATTACAAAAGGAATAAAATAAACACTTTATAAATGGCGATTTAATTTGTTTCATCAATTAATTTCAATTGAAAAAAAATGTATTATATTTTCACAAAATAAA